ATTCTTCGTGTTGTTGTTGTCGTCGTCGTGGTTGTTGTTGTTGTTGTCGTTGTCGTTGTCGTTGTCGTTGTCGTTGTCGTTGTCGTTGTCGTCGTCGTCGTCGTCGTCGTCGTCGTTGTTGTTGTTGTTGTTGATTTTACTCAACTCGTTAGGCGACACAGCCGACCTCGGGGCACCTGCCCGGCTTCGCGGACGCCGAGGGCCAAGCTTCAGAGTTTCGGTTTTGTTGGGTTCTTTTAGGGCTCTTCAGGGGTTCTTTATAGGGTTCTTGTAGGGGCTTGAAGGACTTTTCCGAGGGTCCTTTCAGAGTTGCATGTGGGTTCGGGGTCGAAGGCGGTACGGGGTTGAATTAGGGTTTCAAAGGTTCGGGATTTGAGGCCTGGGGTTTAGTGCTTCAAGGTGGGGTTTTGAGGCGCAGTGAAACATACAGTGAGACGAGAAACGCTTAACAAAAGACCGGCATTCAGACTGGAGTCTCCGTCCAACCTGAGCAGGCCGCAAGAGCGCCGGTCAAAGAATTGAAGCGCGCGTGGCTTCTGCGCCACTCGCCCTGGTTTGCTTCTGCTGCAGGCATTCGCTGGTTCTCTCGCAGCAAGGGCTTTGGTTTCGTTGCGCCCTGGCCGATGAGCCCGGATGCACCACCAGGCTCGGACGGGATGGGTTCTTCAACGAATCTTCACCAGTTGTACTGCGAAAAGAATATCGTGGCAGTTGTTGGCAGTCAGCTGAGGCAGAGCACGGACCAGCATAATCCTACAAGCCGATGTGTTGCAGCTTCGCTGCGAGCGAAGCGATGGCGGCTAGTCCAGCAGTGTAACCAGCTAGTACATGCTAGTCAAAGATCTTGTGTTTCGGAGGTGTGGGCGAAGACGTGTTCCTGCACCGAAGCCAGCGTGGCACTGAAACGGGCCTCATCTGTCTCGTTCGGCTGATGGTTGAGCGTATCACCGCCAAAATCCCAAATTCAACGGACCTATCCGCAAGCGTCCATCGAGCATTAAATGAATTCCGCAGCCTTCCCACTGAGACTCCTTCCACCAGAATTGGACGAAGGAGGCCAGGATCACAACACTGACGTGCTGATGCCGATGGTATTCTGGGCAGAGTTCACACATAGCTTGGACGATCCATCAGCCCCCCGACGATCGGTAGGCACCTGTACCCCCCCCCACCCACAGCTTGCCTTGATGTGGGAGTTTCCGAAAATTAGGGTACCATATTTTGGGGTCCTTATAATAAGGATCCTACTATTTGGGGTACTATATTAGGGTCCCCTATTTTTGGAAACCCCCATGTGTCAGTGTATGACGTGAGCTAGACATGGATGGTTTGTTGACGCACGTCGACGATTCCACCAAAGCTGCAGCGTACTCGTTTGCACTTGATTCACTTAATGTCCTCTGCTCAAGATTCCGACATAGATGGGGCAGGTACATTCAACTCATGAGCCAGTCCCTTCAAACCAAGCCTGCATGTGAGCAGACAAGTGCTTTAAAGCATGCGCTCTTGCCCGTATCGTTCTCGAAGAGCAGAGATGGGATGCAACATACAGAGATGGGATGCTCCAGGTACCCCAGACCGCACGCTACGGTTTCAGTGAAACCGTAGAACTCGACTGTTGAGTCCTTGATGTTCAGCTTTCTCTGCGGCGCCGGCTGTGCAATGTCGGAAGAGCCGGAGAAGCGCTGGTGCGTCGTGGGCGGTGCCATGCCAGGAGCAAGAAGAGTACGGCTCGCCAGTTGTTCGTGGAGACTTCTTTTAGTTTTTTGCTGAGCCTTTCTGGAAAGGCGACCTCCAATGGCAATACTTGCAGATATCACGTATCGTGTATGTTTCGTCCCAGTGGCGGTTGCAGGTGCTGACAAAGGCGGCATTCTGGTCCGAACCGGGCAGGAGCTGACTTCCTCCGAGGTCCGTAGGGAGCGAATACACAAATCCAGTCAAACTGTTTGACCTAGGGTCTTGTTTGAGGCTCTCAACATCAGAGTGATCAGAGACCTTCACCGATGTTTTGAGAGCTACCTTGGTATCCCTGTTGGCAGTGGGAGGCCGAGAAGCGATTGTCCCATGGAGCCTTGGTGAAGCAGGCTCCGCCATTGTGGAAGCGGGGTGTCTTCTGGGCCGACCCGAGCAAGACAGATCATGACAGCGCAACATACCCAATCATAAGTGCTGTCAGGCACGAGAGACCCCGAAAGTATGTGTGATGCATGGTCCCGCGGTCACGCCATGTCCTTTTCCAAAAGGTGCAACGGCCCAGCAAAGTATCCCGAGAGCTTGTGCAGTATCAATCGCATAGACTGCATGAGCGGCACACTATTGACGAATGCCTTTGTCCACGTGCCCTGTTGAACGATGATGCTGGGACTGACTTTACTTTGGGGGCAGATTTTGGCGAGGCCGAGCGTAGGAAGTCTTTTGCTTCTATCTCCGGCAGCGTAGGAGTCGTCCCTAGTGGTCGTTGCGTTTCCAAACGAATCCCCGGCCCCTCCAAAAGGACGTCGTCGTCGTCATGATTCATGAGCATCATTGGTTTCTTCATCTGCAGTGGGGTACACCAGGTCACGATGGTCTCAAAGCTGCTCGAATCTCTGCGGCGGTAGGTGAAGCTCATGGGTGAGCGGCTGCAGTTCGAGAGGTTGACAGGCACTGGACCAGAAACCGGCTGGGCCCGGGCCCAAGGAGTGGCCTAAAAGGGCAGGTTGCCTTTGGAAGATTTCTGGAGCTGCAACACTAGGCTACTAGGATTGGGAATTCCGGTGCTGGGGAGAGGGGCAAGGCAATAGGGCCTGCACATCATCGCCCTGATCATAGATCTGTAGTCATAACGAGGGTGCTTTCTGTGCGTTTGTCTCTTGATCTCACGATGTGATGATGCACGGGCAGGTGAGCCTCAAGGTGAAAGACAAGGCGTTGATGGAGCAGCTGGGCAACAGTGAAGTGCGCTGTCTCTGTGATCTATCACCCTAAATATGCAGCCAGAGTTCACAACACGGCCCCAAGCCCGGATGTCAGGTGTGGGAGACGATTAGATGTTTTTTTGTTGGTGCTGTCATGATTGCGTACCCAGAGAACCCAATACCCCTTAATAATTAAGGAACAGACCTTTAATTATAGGGGGGCCTTAATATTATGCTTTAAGGTATATTCCTGAATAAGGGGTATTGGGTTCTCTGGGTAGTTTTTTCATACCCTGAACTCCCCTAAACCCTGAACCCTAAACCCTAAACCCTAAACCCTAAATCCTCGACCGCCTTGGGCGCCATCTGCCTTTGGTATCGGTTGAGGCTCGGCTCAGGCACTTCGAACCTTAATATACTGCAAGAGATTATAGCATAATATAGCATAGCATAGTACAATGTAACATAGTATAGTATATATTCAAGCATGTTAAAGTATACATTGAGGTGTAGTATAGTATCATGTACTGTAAATTATAAGTTCGGTTTTGTGAACATGTGCGTGCAGTGTTGAGGCCAGCACCGGTGCTCGACCCCAAGGCCCGGGCAAAACTAGCCACAAAGGACGTTTGGCTTTGTGGGGGTTTGATCTTATTGTTTTTGGGTTTGGGGGTTGCGGGTTCGGGGGTGTAGGGTTTGGGGTTTTGGGGTTTGCAGGTTTGGCTCAGGTTCAGGTAGAGTTTTGGGGCTTCGGCTTTGCCAAGCTTTGCTACGTGTTGGAAGGCGGTGGAGGAGGGCCGTGCTGTCAAAGCCTTCGCTGATCCTCCGAAGCCTGTGGAGGGCAGAAAGGTGCGCTCCGAGGCAGCACCTCATGGGACTGTCAGGGTTGAGGCTTGAGCATTAGCTCCACGACAGGCACTCCCCGTGAGCCATTGAAGAGCAAAAGGAAACATTTTGCCAAGCACTACAAACTCCATGTTCCTGTCGACTCTTTTCTTCTTGTTGCAGCATGTTATGATCACCGTACTCGCGATTTGCTTTTCATCACATGCCATGATCTGCCTTTCCTGCTGTAGAACCGGCCGAGGAATCCTATGCCTCCATGGCACCGCCGCAACAGAGAAAGTGCTGAGGTCCGGCAATGCTCAGCACATAGGGTTCAGGTTCAGGAAACCCAAAGAGTTGAGATGTTAGTTCTCTTCCTTCACTTATTTTGCTCTAGTCGCCCGAAGCAGAAGCTGCCCTTTCACGAAGCAACCCACCGTACACATGATATTGCCTCGCAAGCTTACTATCTTGCTTGAAAGCACCATTATGGTCACAACCTTCTGGGCTATAAGTCTAGGACATCTTGGTTACTTACCGTTATAGGAGCCTTATAGAATCAACTTATAGAAGGTCTATATACCTTATATTCCTTATGGAAGCCTTATAGAAGCCCTATATACCCTAAACTCCCCACCTGCAGTTTAAACCTTTAAGTAAGGCAGGCTGCTCCTCTTTTCTCGAAGCTGCCCTGTGCAGGGCACAACTTGCGCCCTTGATCAAGCGAGCAGGGGAAGCCTGGCCGAAGAAAGCGCTCGCCTGCTCTTTACTATAATATTGTATTATTCTATATTTACTAACTTGCTCTTTACTATAGTATTGTATTATTCTATATACCGTATATTATAGGTTGCTATATTGTAGTACAGAATTATGTAGTATATCATAATCTGCCTGTCCCGTCGATGCTGTTGCCGCCGCCGAGTGATATTTTTGCTGAGTCATGTGGACACAACAATGGTGCAAAGAAGGAATTGTCGCGTGAATCAGCTGATGCACGGGTGTCCTTGAAGGCTTCGTGATTTGATGTCTCTTGCCGAGAGGGGAAACATTGTACCCTTGCGCGATCCCGGGATTTGCTCCTCAAGATAAGTGGAACCCCCGCAACCCCTGGTCCCCAAAACATCTGCTGCAGGATGACATCGAGTTTGTTTTCCAGGATGGCTGTGTCGACTGCGACCTACGCAACCCCATCGTGGCCAAGCAGGTGGAGCTCATGAAGCAGCTGGTTCTGAGTTTAAGTGTTACGGCACAGGTGGGCATGAGCCGAGTGTCCTTGCATCGGGAGTTTGTGGATTAATATCAATGTGTATGTGTGAACCTCTATATGTATATTCTATATATATATATATATCAGATAAAACTCGTGAGAAGATGCTTTCGACGCCCTGTCCTGACGACTGGGGAGTCCCAACTATGTCTCAAATGCCGCAGCTGGACAAAGATAATCTTCGTTGTGTTGAGACTTCCGGACATGTCGCTTGTAGCCCATTCCGTTCAAGGCAGTACTTCCCAGAAGAGAAGTGACTTGGCAGTAATCTGCAGTGGATGGCGGCGGTCGGTACTGGACCACTCTATCTTTGCATGGTGGGCACAAGCTTAGCCGCCCCCTTGCGGACTGTTGTGCAGACGCTGTGTTTCGTCTCAGATGGTGCCATGTACAGTACAACCTTGCGCAGTAGGGGTACTGTTCTGCAAGATGAGAGGAATGCTTCATGGACAAAGTGTCAGATAATCTCCACATTGCACGGGAGAGCTGTGACTTCCTCGATATTGCACAGAGCGTGGCGACCCAAGATTCAGGTTCAAGCAGTGGGCGGAGCCCTTGGGTGAGGAGACAGGCTGGCGACGGCCGCTCAACTGGTACTATAGGGGCCTTAATAATTAGAATAGGGTCTGGGGGTCCACTATGCTATAATCATAATAAGAGACCCCCAAAACATCCCAAAACCCTATTCTAACTATTAAGGCCCCTACATGACTGTAGGGATTTCGGCCCGTGGCTCCGTGGCCAGGGAGGATTTGCACAGGGTCGGCCTGATTATTGATATATATATATATATATACATACATCTACACACACACACACATATATATATATATATAAATATACATACATACATACATACATACATACATACATACATACATACATATATATATATACCTATATATATATATATATATATATCTGGCTCTGTCTGGCAAGGGCCTGAAGCCTTATGTTCTGCAAGAGGATCTGCACAAACTCCGCTGGCCGGACGAGGTATGGCGGCTGGGAAAGGGCCATCGAGTTTGCTCAGGAGGCGATGACGAAGCATGCTCCCATTG